CAATTGTCAAAATGTTGGTGTCGATCATTCGATTTCATCCTGGACACTACAGAAAATGGGCTAAAAGTGTTAAAAACCGGAATTCTCCTTTAAGAAAAGATTCCATTTTGCCAATGGAACAAGACAATTTACACTTAAAATAAGAAAACAAAATGGCATTATCTTGCTTCAAGTGCATATTATCTAATCATCTTATTTTAAGAGTAAAAATATTCATTCCATTGGCAAATTGTTTCCTTTACGTAATCAAATTAAGTGTATTTACACTTAATTTAAGATACTTTTACTTATTTGTAGATTGTTTTTCCACTGCAGCCTTTAACGCTACAAAAAAAATTCAAGTCATTTTTTTAAATAAGTGCTTTTTTTCTTAAATTGAGGAAGTAAGTGAGACACTTTGCAAAAAAGACAATTTATATTTATTATAAGAAAAAACAATTGCATTGTCTTATTTCAAATGGATGTTATCTAATTATCTGACTTTAAGAGTTAAAATACTAATTTAATTAGCAAATTATCTTATTTATCTAAGCTAATTAAAGGTAAATAAACTTAATTTAAGACTACTTATTTTATAGATCTTTTGTGCAGTTAACATAAGATGAATTGCAAAGAATTGAAACTTAAATAAGTCATTATTTTCTTAAAATAAGGAAAATTTTCTTCTATTGAGGAGGTAAGTGAGACACTGCCAATGGAACAAGACAATTTACATTTAAAATAAAAAATAAAAAAACTATTACATTGTCTTATTCTAAGCGCATATTATCTAATTATCTTACGTTGAGAGTAAAAATACTCATTCCATTGGAAGATCATCTTCATTACCTGCTCAAATTAAATGTACAAACAATTAATTTCTAGATCGTTTTAACAATGTATTAGTATTTACTTTATGTCCTTTCAGTGAGCAAGAAATTTAAATTATTATCTAGTTTATCATCCTTTTCCCATGAAACCTCATCATTATAGACTTAGAAAACTTTTATTAACAAATTGATTTTGTAAAGTTTTCATGATATTTCCATTTCTTAAAGTGCAGCAGGGATCAAATGTAAACAGTGTGGGAGAAAAAAAACGTGGTGCAACAAAAAACGCATTGATATGGAAGTTCATAATAATATATATAAGGGGCATAAATGCTGTATTTTTGATTTGGTGTTATCAGTGATGCAGAGTCTGTGACTTGATTTAGAGGTTTTTCAGTAGTTCAGCAGTCTGATGGCGGTGGGGGAGAAGCTGTTGCAGAACCTGCTGTAATGTGGATGAGAATAACTCTGCAAGGCAGAGAACCTTACCCAGCTCGTCTTCCTGGGCTCCAGGTCTCTGTTCAGGGGTCCGATCTCTTCAAAGTTCCCGAAGCCACTTCCTGATCCTCCGGGTCCACCCTTCAAACACACAGCAGAACCAGCTTCTGTTTCTGAACTCTTAGGTAGACGTAAAAAAATATGAGCCGTTATCAGCTTCTGTTAAAAGGTGCGTGCTGAATATGGAACATATGTTTATTAAAAAATGAATTAAAGTGAAGAAACAGAAAGCGAAGGTCTGCAAACAGAAAACCACACAATAATTGAAATCTAAATAAGTATTTTTTTCCTAAAATAAGGGAACTTCATTCAATTGAGAAGGTAAGTGAGATACTTTGCCAATGGAACAAGACAATTTATATTTAAAATAAGAAAAAAATGCATTTTCTTATTTCAAGTGCATATTATCTAATTATCTTACGTTGAGAGTAAAAATACTCATTCCATTGACAGATGATTTTATTTACCTGCTCAAATTAAGTGTAAAAACACTTAATTTAAGAAATGTTCACTTATTTCTAGATCGCTTTTGCAGTGCACAAATATGTGGGTTTGAAGAGTCCCGGTTAGAGTTAGACCGATATTTCTGGCAGATATTAATAATTTATTTTTCTTGTATTGGGAATCAGTGGATACCAGCATGCAGCGGCTGATTCATTCATGCATTTAGCAGCCAGACAATAAAATCAAATGAAGTTCATGTTTTGTTGCTCTCTCCATCTATTATTCATTGTGACGTTTTTTTGATTCCCTAAAAATTTTAAATTAAGACTTGGGAAACATTTTCCTTCTTTGTGTCATTTTTATCACATAAATTGAAACTCAATTCTATTCAGTTTATTTCTATAGCTCCAATTCACATCATGTCATCTCAGGTCACTTTTCAGTTCACCAGATCATCCAGTCAGATTGATTCAAAGTTTTCTATCTAAGGAAAACCAGCTGATTGCATCGACTGCATCGACATGTGCATGCTTGTAGTTGAATTTATCCCATTGCACTTTTCTGAACGGCTGCAACTATTACTTTGCAAACTGATTAATCTGTTGATTATTTTTTTTAACTAATTGATTAATAACTGGATAGCCAAAAGTTCCATAAATAAGATTTAAGAAATTAAACCATGTGAAACTTAAACTTTTCCACTTAAGGAGTTCTGGATAGAGCAGACAAAACATTTTTTTATCTTAAATGCAAAATGTTTATATATATATAATTTTATTTGTTTTTACACTTTTTATATAATTCCTGCTCTAAGTGAGTCGCTCTGTCAGCATGTTTTACAGTCTCTATTCTCCAGTTAACTATTAATTGATTACTAAATTAGTTAACCATTAAATGTTCACATTATGATTCACGCTCATATCATTTATTGACTTCATCTAAAAATTCCAAATATTTTACCTTTATGCAAAGTTATAAAATAATATAACACAACTTTAATTATATTATTGTAAAAATTAGGTCATCAAATCAGAGTGTTAAAACAGGCTGCCTGTAGGCACTAAAATGTCCAGCAGGTGGCAGTATTGAGTGAAACAGAATCTATAGTTTGGCAGTGTTTCTAAACGCCTCTTCCTTTCACCATCACTGAGATTTTATTAGATCAGGTGCTAAAATGCAACCTAAACACCTGTGATCACATGAAGGCAGACAGAAACAGGAAGTTAGAAAAAGTTACTCTGGCTTCATGAGCTCAAAGAAAGAAAGGAAATAAGAATAAACAGAGCAGCTTGATGGAAACTGTCTCAGCAGCTGGTTGGTTAGTCACTTCCTCTAATGAACAGAGGCGCCATATCAGCTCTGCTTGCTTCTAAAATTATAATATTTATTTTCTGCACATTAGATCATTTCTGTCAGTTTATTTAATGTTTTTTTCACTTAAAGCTCCTGAAAACACAATTAGAATGAAACCGAAACAGTTTCTTTCAAATCTGCTTCCAGGTTTTTATTGTTTTCAGATTAAAATATTTAATATAAATCCTGTTGGAAAGGCGAGCTCTGCATTATTGGACAGGTGTGTGTTTTTACCTGCAGCCACAGGATGAGCGGCAGGTCCTGGTAGCTGTCAGCATAATAGAGCCACCAGAAGATGTGGGCCCCTGGTCTGACCTCCACATAGTCCCACTGCTCCTTAGCAGGCGGCGGGGAGGAGGAGCCTGCAGACACCGGGAGCATTAACCATCTCTGATGGAGCAACCAGCTTTGCTTTCGGTTTACATTCAGCGGAGTCAAAGAGCTTAGAGAGGAAACAGTTAAACCAGGAGATCATGAAATTAAACCGGATAAATCCGGAAGGTTTACCTTTGGAGACCAGAACAGAGAATAAAGATAATAAAGTGAAGAGTTCAGCGAACTGAGCCATTGTTCCTGCAGCTCTGCTCTCAATCAGCCGCTAAAGTCACATGATACTGATCCAGTCAGCTGACAGAGGAGGAAGACTCGATCTAGGTGCTGCGTCTCTATCAGGGGCGGATTTAGGATATTTGGGGCCCTAGGCAAAGACAGGAAGGGGGCCCCTCTGAATTGAGAAGAAAACACATCAAACAGCCCCATTCTCCAGATAGAGA